AACTTTTTATTCCTATCGATTTAAATGTAAGAACTTTATTTAAAACTGTTAATAGGAATTATGGGGAAAGGAATAGTGAAACTCAATACCCCATTCCATAAAGCCTCGGAGAACAAACTGTGGTACAGCCATAGCATGGAATACTACTCAATCACAAAAAGGAATGAAACATTGATACACAAAACTTGGATGGATCTCAGAGGCATGAGGGTGAGGGGAAAAAAGCCATCTTAAAAAGTCACATTGAGCATGATTCCACTATGTAGCATTTTCAAAATGAGAGAATTATGGAGAAGGAGAACAGATGAGTGGTTGTCAGGGATTAGGAATGGGGGGTGGGAGGGTGGTGAGTGTGACCATAAAGGGTTGTGTAAGTGAGGTACTCATGGTGATGGAATAATTCTGCATCAGCTATGTTGGTGGTCACACGAATCTACACATGATACAATGACACAGAATTATGCATTCCTGGTTTTTATATTGTACTATGGTTATGTAAGATGTAACCAGTGGGGTAAACATACATGGGACCTCTTAGTACTCTCTTTGTAATTTCCTGTGAATCTATAATTATTTCAAAACAAAAACGTTTTTAAAATTCCTGTTGGAAAAATAAGGCTTGTATACATGAAATTAAAAAAAAGTTACTGTAACTGGATCTAAAGAACAATGAATTCATACATATTATTGGAATGCATCCCTATTTTAAAAGTCTGGTGAATAGAAAACACTGGATGGACTAGGGGCTTGAAGACCCAAATTCTTGTCCCCATCCCACCAAGGATTAAGTGATCCTGAGCCTCAGTTTTTTCATTTCTATAATACAAAACACCCTTTGCCTTTTTGTTCCAAGTTTATTGTGCCAAAAAAGAATATCATCTGCAAAATCCTAAAGAATACACAGTCAGCGGTATAGGATAAAGAAAAGGCGTACAGCCTTCCAGATCAGAAAGACCTCACTTCAAAACCACGGTTCACTCTGGATTGGCCCTGTGCTCTTAAGCAAGTTACTTAATCTCACAAGGCCTGTTTCCTCACCTGCAAAACTAGAATGATATTACAATGTGATTAAATAAAATAACACATTTCAGCGGGTCTGACCCAGAGATAATTCTGAGCATATATATTCCTACCTGTTAACCAAATATTTTTCAAAAAAAATTTTTTAATTACTATAAAATCTACTTAACCAAAACTTTTCTGAAAAGAAGGGTGGGTAAAGATGTCACATTTTCCCCCAGGGAAAGTGTACAAGGTTCAATCAATCACATATCAATTCACCTTTTTTAATACCATCAGCCTCTATTCAACAGGGGAAGCCAGTTACTCAATCATTTACTTCACAGGGCAAGTTCTCATTACAATAAACGTCAACGGATGCCCCAAACTCCTTTGTTTGTAATGATGATTTCTTAAATTAATGACACTCTCAATAGGGTTTAAAAGTCTTGCAGCCTTATGAAAAACAGTCATTGATTTTATGCCGACTGAGTTAGACCTACACATTACATGTAATACAATACTCTTTTAGTTGATAAGATTTTCTTTTGATTTCACTTTCTCCATTTACCTCATTCCATTTTGTTACTGTAAAAAAAGTAGGTTTCCTATAGAATGAATATTTCAAAGGCAGAAAAAAAATCATTATTTAATGAAAGTTTTCCTGTTATGCCAAATACAACTTATTTCCAGATAATGAAAACAGACTTGACCCCCTCACTTATCCAGTGGTCACCAGCTTGGCAACCTTTACTATCCAAAACTCAACACTAAACTCAAAACTAAAATCCATGAACTTCAAGCCTATGAAATTTATTTTCAAGATGTCCTTGAGTCCTTACTCAGAGTCTATTTACTCTTACTGAAGTACAATTCCAACTTTAAAATTTTATGACTCTGATTAGTTCCTGCTTTGAATAAATCAGCCATAAAAAACATTTTGGAGACAACCAGGTAAATCTGATTATGGACAGAGTTTTAGATAATATTAGAGAATTACTGTCAATTTTATTAGGTTAATAATAATATTGTGGTTATGTAGTTATGGTCTATTTTTAGATGCATACTGAAGTATTTAGGGATAAATATGGTATCTGTAATTATTTTTAAATATTTCAGAAAAAATAAATGAAGTAAATATGGTAAAATGTTATAATCTAAGTTTTAAGAATATGAATGTTTATTTTACTATTTCTTCTACTTTCCTGTATGTTTTAAATATTTCACAATAAAACTTTTTAATGGTTTTTAATTCCATGACAAAGATTGCCTGATTTCCTAACCCTGCCTGAGTGAAATCAGAAAGTCAGACGCAGCAAGTGGAGAAGAGGGGTAGGGCAGTAGCAATGAGGCATGTTTAGAGCTGCAAGGAATGCAAACTGATAGTCTGACAGTGAGGGAACAGACATCAAGACAATGCTGTACATAAAATGCAAACATAAAGTCTGGGGCCATCAAGATAGGAGCTATTTCACGGCTCTCCGGCACTACAAAGCAGCATAACAATTAACAGAGATGGAGAGTCTCGTCTTGCCTTTTATTACTAATTGACTGCTTACCCATGGTATTTTATCTTACATAAAAATAATGTTACCAAAAGTTGAAAAGAAAATAAATTACACAAAACAGCACAACTCTACAACTAAGAATATATATGTATAAACATAGCCAATATTCCCAAATGTCTATTTCAAATGAACAACTTTATACACACTGATTTTGCACTTAAACAAGCATTTTTCATGTCCTTACTTATCACATGAATCGTAACAAGGAATGCACAGAATTTAATTAATGAACTCCTCCCTTACCGGAAGCTAACCGATCTTTTACTTTTACACACAGCACTGCAATGAGTACCATTTCGCAAATAATTTTTTCCTTCTTGTGGATTATTTATTTGGGATAGTATCACAGAAATGAGATTAGTGGGTCAAAGGGTATAAACATATTACCAAACTGAATTCCACTTCACACTCCACCAACACCACAAGAGTACACTCATTTCATTACAACTTTATCCCAGACATTGGTTAACCCTTTTTCCCCAACATCATAGAGGTATAAGTGGCATACAAAAAACTGCATATAATTAATGTACACAATTTAGTGAGTTTGGACATATGTATACATTCATGTTACTATCATCTCAATCCAAGTAATAAACATACCCATCACCTCCAAAAGTTTCCTGGCTAAACTTTTATTTTGGTAATTCAGTAGTTCTAAAACAGTATTTAACTTTAATATGCTAAATAAAAGAACAGAAAAATGCAACATTTTTCCATATGCTCCTTCACCAACAGCATTTACTCTTCTGTGACTTTTCACAAGTCATTTAACCCTCTGGGACTTTGCACATCTCCAAAATAAGAAGACTGTATCAACCTCACTAGTACTCAAAGAAGTAAAAATTAAAGAAAGAAGGGCCATTTCTTATACATGAGACTGGCAAATGTCAAGACTGATAGGTCCCATATAAACCAACGTGACCTCAATTAAAAAAAAAGACCAATAGGTTCCAGTGTTAATGAGATTACAGGGAACGGGCATTCTCACATGTGACTGGTGGGTGTATTTAAAACTAATCTGACTGTTCACTAAAATTATAAGTATATATTTTAACCCAGACATCCAACTTTTAAATCTATCCTTCAGAAACAAAGGCAACAGTAAGAATGAATATATGTTTATTACAGGATGGACTATAATGACAAACTAAAAAACGAGAACCACCTGAATGCCCATCAATATGGGAATGGCTGAATAAAGGCACATCTATACCATGGAACATTAAGCAGGAATTGGAGCTGGCGTGTTAACTTAGTACAGATCCATGATCTATTGGTATGTAAGAAAGAAAGCTGCTTTGTAATGATCACATAATTATTTTCTAACTTTTAAAGGAAAAACCCTATCTATGTATTATAAGCATTTGTGTTTATCACTATAGAGAAAGGTACAGAAGATACAGCAAACTAGTAACAATGATTGAGTAAAAAGGAGAAATGATTCTCTTTTATTCCTCTACATTATTTGACTTTTTATTATTTGGCTTGCTGGTAATTTTTAAATGTCCACAGATACTAAGGATTTTGTTAAAGGAAGATTGTACTAGATACATCTCAAATTCCATTAACTCCCAAAGCGTACAATTCTATGAAGCGAGGTTCACAAAGAGGTCATTGGATCCTTAATGAATGGTTAAATTATGTCCAATATGCCACAGGAGTTATGTGAGATCGTTTTGCAAGGTTTACAACAAAAATAGTTAATACTTTTAAAAGTTTTGACACAAAGGAATAAACAGAAAAAATTAACTTATGTTAAACACCTCAGCCCCTCTCCCCAACTCTGGATAAATGAAACATTATATTATCCAAATCACTGAGCTGTGCAAAAAATCCCACCAAGAGTGTGTGAGAACGTACAGGGAGCCCTTCTCCCACTCACTCCTAGATTCACTCTAGTGAACTGGCAGCAATCACGAAGAAAAGGATTTCTATTCTTTGAATATCCAAAGAGCAAGAATCTTATTAACCAACTTCCGGCCCAAAAGAAAACAGGAAGAAGCACTAAAGAGCATTGTAGTCAGTATCTTCTCTCTAAGGGAAATCTTCTAATGAAGGAGAAAAAAACATTTTAGGAGGAATAGGCCCAGCCTTTCCATTTATCCAAGCTTAACGTTTTAATCAATATGTGTAACAGTTCTTAAAATTTGGCTCTTATCAACTGAAAATACTCACACAAACTATAAAAGGACACTATCAATGTTCCCAAGGGAGTGAAAGGAATGTCAACACTGGTGACTAGAAACAACATTCACATGTACACCCATCGCAGCAGAAACTCGTCATCCAAATTGGTCACTAGTCACCACAGTAAAGTGAGGGGTTTTAAGTATTATAATCACTTCTGAAATTAGCATATGAAAAAAATCAAATCTTAAACATTGCTCAATTAAATAATTCAAAAGGGAAAAGGGATATTTTTAAACATACCATGCCTACAATCTTCATCAGCTTGCCCATAGTTTTTCTGCAAAATAAAAGATACAAGATGAAATTAAGTAGTTCAAGGGCTGCTTAAAATAGAGGTTTTATCAAAAAGCAGCTCAGCTTTGTTTCAAAGTTTAATCATTTTAATATTCACAGCGCAAAGCTAACTCATGTGCTCTGAGGATTACATGGTACTCTACAAATAAACACCATAATATACTTCCCTAGTCCATTTACTCACACTCTTGCTTCTCACCGTCTCTAACCCCAAATCACCAGAACCTCCTCCCTATCCTCATTCTCAGCTAATGACCGTACTCAGAAAACTGAAGCCATGAGAAGAGAATTTCCATAGAGTGTCACCACCAGGTCCACCCACTTCCCAGCGCATTCTCTGCCTTCCACCTGTCACCAGGTGAACCATCCACACTCCTTTCTAAAGTGCATCTTACCACTTGTGCAGATCTGCTCTGTGGCCTACTCAAGAACATTACTCCAGCAAGCCTCCTCTACTGCTCCTACATCATGAAAATTTTGCTTCCTATTGGTTCAGTCCTATAAACAGACATGCTTTTATCTCTCCCATCTTAAAAAATCCCTCTCTTGACTTCACTTCTCCCACCAGCTACCATGTCCATTTTTTTGTGTCTCTTTGGGTCAGAACTCCTCAAGAATTGTGTGTATTCGTGTAATTCGATTCCTTCCAATTCTTTCTTAAACTCTCTTTAATCAGACGTTCACCCAACGCTCCATGGAAGATGTTTTCATGGAGGTCTCTCCAGTGACTCCCACTGTATCCAGTTAGACACACAGTCTATATTTACATGTACCCATTCAGATACCTTCTCACAGCTTAGTCAATCCTCACTTCTCCAGTCACAGCAGTTGACATTGCTGAACACTCCCTCATTGAGATACACCTTCTTCACCTGGCTACTAGGACACCTTGCTCTCAATTTTCCTTTACCTCACAGGTTGCTCTTCGGGTTGCTTTGCCTCTTCTCCCCAACCTCTTAATACCATAGCACCACAAGACTACTGGAGATAGAAAGCATCTATCTTCTCTTCTTCTCTATGTACACTCTTCTTCTCTATGTACACTCATTCCCTTGGTGATTTGACCCAGGCTCAAGAATTTATATATCATCTAGAGGCTACCGGTTCTTAAATTACTATCTTTAGCCCAGATCTCTCTCCCAAACTCCATTCTTGCATATCTGACTGTTTACTTAACATCTCTAGCTGGATATCTAAATGACGTGTTAAACTCAATAAGCCCAAAACTGAACTCCCATCTTCCCCACAAAAACCTGCTCCCCACCTACAGTCTTTTCATCCCACTTGAAGGAAACTCCATTTTCCAAATGCTCAGACGAGAAAATGTCAAAATAATCTAGGACTGCTCTCTATTTCTCATTTCTTGCATTTAACACATTAGGAAAATTTACTGGTTCTGCCTTCAAATTATAACCAGAACCAAACCACTTCTCACTATCGCCACTGCTACCATTTTGTCTGATCTACTGTCATCTCTGGCCTGGATTATTCCAATAACCTCCAAACTAGTCTCCCTGCATCTCCTCTTACCCCTTCACAGTCTATTCTCAACACAAAAGCCAAGAATTCCTTTAAATCACATCACACCACTCCTCTGCTCAAAACCTCACAACAGCTCCCCAGTTCAAACAGAATAAAAACCAGTCCTTACAGCAACCTGATGGGCCCCACAGGATCTACCCCTCTTACCCTCTCCCCCTTATGCACTTTACTCCAGCACTCTGACTTCCTAACTGCTTCTGGAATGTGGCAGGCATTCTTCTGCCTGAGGGTCTTTGTTCCCTCTACCTCTAACGCTCTTCCTCCAGGTTTGACATGGCTCACTCACCTCCTTGATATCACTCTATCAATGAGACCTATCTTGAGCACCTGATTTAAAAATGCAAACTCACCCCTAACCCTAATACCCCCAATCTCCCTTGCCTTATTCTACTTCTTTCATGCATATTGCTACCTTCTAATAATCGAAAGTGTTTATTTATTTATAGTGTCTATTGTTTACTGTCTGTTCCCCTACTAGAAAAAGTACCATGAAGAAATGATCTTTGTTTCTTTTTTGCCAACGTATACCAAGTACCTACAACATAGTATACACACAGCATGCACTCAATAAATATTTGCCAAATGAGTGAAGAATCTAAAACGCTATATACAGTAGTACGATTTTTAAGGCTTAAAAACACAGTTGCTTGCCAACAAAGATGTTAGCGATGATGAGCCTCTTCACTCATCTCTTCAGGCCAGAATTAGGTGATTTGTAAAGGGAATGACCAGCAGTGGTCCCCACTCAATGGAAGAGGTCACTTTACATGGTTCAGCATTGGCTTATTGATATTGTTGACTCACCAGTTGCAAAAATGAGGCAATTCTATAAAGAAGACTCTCAATTTTGATGCTTTCTATCTCCAGTGGACATGGCCCTGTGAAGTCGGCCATGGAGTACTGGCCAAGAGAAAGGAGGGCCTCTGTGCAGTGCTTGAGGGCCATTTCATAGTCCTGCCTCTTAAGTGATTCACATGCTTGTTCACATGACTTCTCAGCTCTTCTGTCTTCCATGACTCAGGGACAAAAATCCTAAAGAGAAGGAAAAAGAACAAGTAAAACAAGGTTTCAAAACTTATTAATCATAAAGTCTAACCTCATTCCTATCTCAGCTGGCTTAATTATCTATCTGAATGGTTACTCTCAACCAGCCTTTTGATCAAGGTCGCAGCTGAGCAGCAGCTATGATGCTACCAAATCTATACTTCTCTTTTATATTTTACCAAGTCTTTACTAAGATCTAAGCAAAATGTCAACAATAAGTCAGGATTATACGAACAATACATCAAATTTATAGTTGAAACAAATTTATAAATGAAACATGACTTTGACTGCAAAGTACAACAAACCATGAAGGCTTCTTTTTTTTTTTAACGAGAAGGTGCAGAAATGATTCACATCCAAACCTCCCAATTTCAGTCAAATTCTGTGACTATGTTTGCAGAGGATCAAAATCCATACCATACCGGATTTTTGCCACCAATATAAAAAACTGACAAAAATGCAAGTTTGAACTGCCTATTAATTCAATTCAGCAAATACTTCCTGAGGCCAGGCCCTGTGCTAGCAGCACTGAATTCAAAGATGGAGCATGTCACCAGTGCTTTCAAGAAACTCAGCTTCTAGCAAGAGAGGCAAAGCACAAGTGAACAATTACAAGAAAGACTTATTCCATCTGCCGAAAGGCATGAGCTGGCCTTGAAAGGTGAACAGAAGTTCAGCACACAGAGATGACAGGGGGAGCACACGCAAGCTTTTCAGAGAGAAGAGTTCAAGAGAAATCACCAAGAGGAGACAGTATACAACTTAAACTCCAGGTGTGTCAGAGGAGGAGGAGGAGCTATGAATGACCTCAAATGCCACAAGAAGTGAGCTCTTTATTCCATAAGCAATGGAGTACAATGGAAAGTTTTTAAATAAAGAAGGAATGTATCATATGTAAGTCCTGTGAAGAACTGGTGAGAAGCAGGCGTTGCCATTAATAAGAGACCACTATAATACTCCAAGCAAGAGACATTGAGAATTTAAGAGTGGCCTCTCCCTAGTTATATCACTTCTGTAGCAGGGAACAGAAAACCTGGGCAGAGAAGACCTAAACTGCTTTGACCTGCCAATCACAATCCTGCTTCAGAGGATCAGGCTTGCTGCCCTCCAGCTCCGTCAGGCCTGGAGGTGGCTTTTCTCGCCTGCTCTCACCTTACTCACTCCTGTTCTTCCCTACCTTCCACCTCACCAATTGGCCCCAAGGTACTTATTTGTCCTTCCCGTCTCTCTCCAGCCTACACATATACTCTGTGCCTGGCCTCTCCAGCTTTGATAATGACAACCTGGCTCCACCCTCTCCTAGCTGTTCTGTAGCCATCTGCTGCCTATATACCACAGTGAAAGATAAGGGGAGAAAGTTGTTGATGGGCAGCCAAAAGACAGCAGTGAGTAAAGCACAATGATGGACATCAGAAGAAGTCCAGGTCCCTTCAACTTTTGAGATTCTTGGTCTATCCAAAAATGTACAAGTATCTAAGGAATGGGATGAGGAAGAGTTCAAAAAGGACTTCAATATTTGTTAGCATTTGTTAAATATGGGTGGTATATATATGGGGTACAGTATAATATGCTCTACTTTTCTCAGTTTGAAATTTTTAATTAAAAAATACCAAAACAGGGGGGGCTGGCCCCGTGGCCGAGTGGTTAAGTTCGCACGCTCTGCTTCAGTGGCCCAGGGTTTCGCTGGTTCGGATCCTGGGCACGGACATGGCACCGCTCATCAGGCCATGCTGAGGCAGCGTCCCACATGCCGCAACTAGAAGGACCCACAACTAAAAGTATACAACTATGTACCTGGGGGCTTCGGGGAGAAAAAGGAAAAATAAAATCTTAAAAAAAAACAATCTTTAAAAAAAAAAAAAATACCAAAACAGGGGCCAGCCCAGTGGCACAGTAGTTAAGTGCGAATGTTCTGCTTCGCCGGCCCGGGGTTCACCGGTTCAGATCCCAGGTGCGGACATGGCACCGCTTGGCAAGCCATGCTGTGGCAGGCGTCCCAGATATAAAGTAGAGGAAGATGGGCATGGATGTGAGCTCAGGGCCAGTCTTCCTCAGCAAAAAGAGGAGGATTGGCAGATGTTAGCTCAGGGCTAATCTTCCTCAGGAAAAAAAAAAAACCCAGCTTTTAAAATTACAGGATATTTTAAATGTTTACACTTAACAAATTAACGCTTTTAATACAAAAAATGAAATCTAACTGTTATTCACAAGATAATCCAACAAATATTTAAAGTACTGTATCCTCATTCTTTATGTGGCCTCCCTTTAAATTTCCTCAGCTTTCCTTCAGTGAGCTATAATTCCCAGATTGGCTTAAGGGAACTTAAATATTTAAGTTATAGTTGTTATTTATGCCCCTTATACAAACATGCATTAATCTGGGTGAAATTAATTATCAAAAAAATTCAAAAATAATGATTTCTATATTTCTACAGTGACTTTGTCCATTAGACATAAGAATGGCAATACAAGTTAACCACTAACTAATTATATAGACCAGAGTTGATGCTACTGACATTTTGGGCTGAATAACTCTTAGTTGTAGGGGGCTGTCCTGTGCATTATAAGATGTTTAGGCGCAACCCTGGCCTCTACCCACTAGAAACCAGCAGCACATCCCCTGACTTGTAACAACTAAAAATGTCTCCAGAGAGGCAGAGCAAAATGGCAGGGTGAGCTGACCTGGGACTCTCTCCCCTCCAAAGTACAACAAAGGACTGAAAAAAAAACCCTGAATTTCAGCTAATGAACCTAATGCCAGGACTCAGAGACCTACAGTATCAAAAGACAGATGACGAAGCCCCTGCTGCCCGCCTCGGAGGAGCTGGAACGGGGTAGGAGAGAACGTGGCTCCCTCCCCTAGAAACCAGGATTGCCGCGCGGGTCCGGGAAGGAGCGGGGGTGGGGCTGCGCGACCAGGGGATGTCTAGGACTCCCGCTGCTGGTACAGTGGAAACCCGCTGACGGGGAAAAGCTTCCGTGCACAGGGACCCCATAAACCCAGGGCCCCGGGAGACCAGAGAACAGAACTGATCTGAATCCAGATCAGTGCATTAGAGAAACCGCTCCCACCCCGGCAAACCGTGCTGGGCGCCGCCATCTTGCCCAAAGGTGGACAGCTCAGAACGCACGGTGCTCAACCCCCATCTAGTGGCAACAGGCTGTAACTGCAACCGAATTCTACCACCATGCAAAAAAACCGCTCCTCTACCATCCAGCAATTTATAAAAGACCCAGACCAGAAGGAAAACAATAAAAACACAGAATTAAGTCCTGAGGACTTGGAAATAGGTAAACTAACTGAAAATGAGTTCAGAGCAGCTATAATCAAAAAACTCAATGAGGTAGAGAGAAAGATAGAGAAACAAGCCGAGTTCTGGAGTTACTTCACAAAAGAGATTGAAATTATAAAGAAGAATCAAACAGAATTACTAGAGATGGAAAACACAATGGACCAGATAAAACAGAACACGGATTCCCTGAATGCCCGGGTAGACTCCACAGAAGAGCAAATTAGCATAATTGAAGATAGACAGGCTGAATGGCTCTAGACAGAGGAAGAAAGAGAACTAAAGATTAAAAGGAATGAGGAAAGTATTAGAGAGATAGCAGATTCAATGAGGAGAAAGAATTTAAGGATCACGGGAATTCCCGAGAACGTGGAAAAGGAAAATGGAGCAGAAAGTGTGCTTAGTGAAATTATAGAAGAGAACTTCCCAAATCTAGGGATTGAGGGAGAAATGTGTGTAGAGGAAGCTTTCAGACCTCCTAGATTTGTCAATGTAAAAAGACCTACTGCAAGGCATATAGTAGTACAAATGGCAAAAATGAATGACAAAGAAAGAATACTCAGGGCTGCAAGACAAAAGAGAATAACCTACAAAGGAGCTCCTATCAGACTTTCAGCAGATTTCTCTGCAGAAACCTTACAAGCTAGGAGAGAATGGAGTGACATATTCAAAAGCTTTAAAAGGTAAAAATCCTCAGCCAAGAATACTCTATCCAGCAAGAATATCCTTCAGATATGAGGGAGAAATTAAATCTTTTCCAGGCAAACAAAAGTTAAGGGAATTTGTAACCAAAAGTCCTTCACTACAAGAAATCCTCAAGAAGGCTCTCATACCTGAAAAAAGAAAAAAGGGAGAAAGGGGTCACAAACCACAGAGTAGGGAGACAGATAAATAGAACCAGAATAGGATAGCAAATATTCAACCATAGCATTAGGATAAAGGGGAGGAAACTACCAAAGCAAAGACGATTTTATCACTCTAACTACAAACTCATAACACAAGTTGGAATAAGAAATGAAAATAATAATTTAGGAGGGGAAGAGCAAAGGGACTAAATTAGTCTAGGCCAAGTACGTAAGAGACCACCAGAGAATAGACTATATTATACACGAGATTCTAAATACAAACGTCAGAGTAGTCACTAAACTAAAAAACAGAACAGAGCCACAAAACATAAATAAGGAAAAATCTAAGAAACCCAGCATATGAAATTGCAGTATCAAATGGGTAGGATAAAGCACACGGGAGGAGAAAAGCAGGAGAGCCAGATAATGAGCAACAGATTGACAGCTTTAAGTCCACATGCATCAATAATCACTCTCAATGTAAATGGACTGAACTCTCCAATAAAAAGACACAGAGTGGCAAAATGGATTAAAGAACAAGATCCAACAATTTGTTGCCTCCAGGAAACACACCTCAGCTCCAAGGACAAACACAGGCTCAGAGTGAAGGGGTGGAGGACAATACTTCAAGCTAATAGCAAGGAAAAAAAAGCAGGTGTTGCAATTCTTATATCAGACAAAGTGGATTTCAAAATAAGACAGGTGAAGAGAGACACACAGGGACAATATATAACGATCAAAGGGACACTTCATCAAGAAGAAATAACGCTTATAAATATCTATGCACCCAACACAGGAGCACCAAGGTTCATAAAGCAACTATTAACAGACCTAAAGGAAGATGTTAAAAACA